AGAAGAATGTAATATTTTCAAATTTTACGATAGATATTTACTGAAGAAATAAAATAATATTTAGTTGAAAAAAAAATATATTTCGTAATATTGTGATAAAATGAAATACAAAGAATGTACACTCGCGTATGTTCCTTGACTAGGGAGCAGATGGTATTTTCGGAGCTGCACGGTAAACACTAAATTATTGTGTCGCGAGTGAATATCAGGACTGCTGATAACTGTTATTGGTGTCAAGTAAAGTATTGGTATAAGTTAATTCTTAATACGAAGACGGAAGACAGCCACAACCGTGGCTGATACGGCTACCAACATGGGATTTTCTGACTACAGGGACACCCTAACCCCCAACAACTCAGAACAACACCAAGTAAGCGGAACTTATGCTAATGTTGCCCAGAAAGATTCTTTTCCTAGTAAAGATCAAGCTGCACATTGATGCAATAGGCAGGTTAAGCATTAAAGAATACATAAACAAGATTGTATCAATAGTTGATTCTTATAACATACGATTCATATCTCGTATATCCAATAACAGGATCTTCATTTTTCTCTCGAGCCATGAAATAGCTAACAGTATTACAGAAACACACAAATGCGTGGATATATATGAACATAGGCTAAGTGTATGACCCTTAATACATTTGTCCCAGTCATCATTTCTAATGTTTGCCCAGTAATACGCAATGAAGAAATCCTAAAATTTCTGAAAGGAATTAAAACATCGACAAAGATTCCCTTCATCAGAGCAGGCATATCAAAACCTGGCTTATCTCAGATTTGGAGTTTCAGAAGGCAAGTTTTTATAGATACCGATCATCTTATGAAATTACCTGATCTACTTTACTTTTTACGAAGACACAACATACAGAATTTATTTTTCTAGTGAAACCTTCTCTTGTTTGGTATGCAAGCAAGAGGGTCATATTGCCAATCACTGCCCCTCTAAATATATTTCAAATGAGGCAATGAAAACCACTTGTAAAGTTCCTGAAAGCCCTCAAACAAACACTAAACCAGAAAATAAAATTGCACAATCTCAAGACTTAATATCCGTAATTAATGAAGATAATTTTTCTCATTTAACGAGAAGAAAACTTCATCTGAGTCCTCTCAGGGTAAGGTATTGAATAGTAACAAGACCAAATCTACAGTACATAAAAACATTGCACAGGAAAACAAGGAAGATATAGAGGACCCCTCCACAATAAAATCAAAATCAATTAATAATCTTATTGCAACAACTAAAAGTTGCTTCGTTTTCGTATTGAGGCTAATAAAGAAAAAAATCCCCTAAAGTTTAAATCATTTATAGAAAATACATATGGATCTAAAGATGCAATGATTGTAACAAAAGATTACATGAAAGTCATTCAAACATTAATCCTAATGATGAATCAAACAAATAAACTCTTTACTGAAAGATCAATAAAACGTACATTTACTATCATCACCAAAAAGTTGAAAAGAGCTCTGCAGCAATGTGAAGAAACTGCTACTGCTACACGTTTTGAAACCTCAATCATTGATTCTAATTGATGAAAGTTTGCCAATAATCAATCCAAGGAGACTTTCAAATAATTTAAAAATATAATATAGTACACTTATGAAACTTTTACAATGGAATGTACACAGATTTTACACAAAACAAAAAAATCGACATGTTATGCAAAAATCACTTACCAGAGATTATTTGCGTACAAGAAACCAACCGTAAAGCAAAAAGTTCAGGAAGAATAAAAGGTTTTAAATGTTTTAACAGGTCCACTTCCACTGTAGCCAGTGGCGAAGTTGCTATATTTGTTATAGTTTACATACCCTGTTCAAAAATTAATATTCAAGTGGTATAGAAGTAGAAGCCATTGGAATCAAGCCTCAATTTTGCTGTAAATGGTTATGCATACCTATCTAATAGTTACTCCATTGATGTGAGAGAGATCCAATCAATTATTAATCTTTTATCTCACCGATTTATACTACTTGGAGATTTTAGTAGCCATAGTACTCTGTGGGGTTCAAAAAATACTCCAGATGTTCGTGTATTGAATCAGTAAAATAATATATGGATTTGATCTGACTAAAACGTGGTACCTCAATACACTTCAAAATGAGTTCTTGTAAATCCAGCCCAATTGACCTTACTATATGTTTTGCAAATATAGCACCAAAGTGTAACTGGTACACCTTAGATAATCTACATGGCAGTGATCTCTTTCCTATTTTCACTGACATTAACCTTTTCCCCAGTACCATCAATACTCAACAACCAATCACAAGTTGGAATTTCAACAAAGCAGACTGAAAAAACTACTAAGAATTAATAAGTAAATTCTTTTCAGAGGTAAATATTCTTGAAGAAAATAATGATATAGGCACAACAAAAAACTTTTATAGAAATAATTAATAAGGCAGCATATAAATCAATTGGTATGTCAAGACCGACCAACAAAACAAGAAGTGATCACTGCTAGAATGATAGTGGAAAGATGCCATAAAAATGCCAATCACGCCTTTAATCGATACAAAAACAGTACTGAATACAATAGTAAACAAAATTGAATATAAGAAGATAAGAGCTATATCAAGATTAACTATTAAAGAAAGTAAAGCACAATATTCGTATGACTACGTTTCAACAGTTAACCAAATTCAATTTTCAATGTTTGACGACCACCAAGTCATTACAGATTCAAAAGATATGGCTAACAACCTCTAATACTTAACCAGTATATTTGCAAAAAACTCAAGTTTTCAAAACTACTCTACAACTTTTCAAGAGTATAAAAAACAACAAGTGGAAACAACTGTAATTGAGAAGAGTGAAGAACTAATAGCACACTCCCACAATGATCCCTTTCAAATAAAGAACTCGCAACTACCATAGCATGAACTAAAAATACTAAACATGATAAACTTGATTTTAGAAGTGTATAGTTTCATTGAAAGAAACTGATTGTTTTTACGTTACTTTGGAACGATCGAAGAAACACGTATGACTGAGACTGGTTTTGACTTTGATGAAAAATGTAATACTAAAAATTGATGATTATCAACATTTTTCTTTAATAGAAAATTCCTCTTCCAAGATTTGGAAATTGGTCTTCTTATCTCTTCTGTCAAAGTCCACTATTTTTGCTTTACATAAAAATTAGATTTTGTTGTTATTTGCGCAGAGAAGATTCACTTTATCTCTCAGTCATTATTATGCTTTTAACAAGCAGTTTTTTATTTTATAATTTAGAATTTAATATATACTGACAATTTTGCCCTTATTTCAGCAGATATTTTTTGTCATATGAAAGATATAAGTTTTAGGTCGCTAAAGGAACACTCCACAAGAGGGTCTGAAATTAACTTCAGCCCCCTACGTAATTAAATTATTAAAAGGTTTAAAAATAAAAAATATAATCGTATTGTTAAGAGGAAAACAGACGATTTATCGTACTGGAATATAATTTTAATATTAATGTTATAAGGTCTGTGAACTCATCAGAAACAAAATGTAGAAACTCGACTCACCACTATGCGGCTCATGAATGCATCGGTAAACTCATATATCCCGACCAAAACATAAAAATTATTATTTGTTGTATGGTTAAAATGCAAGAAGGCGCCATCTCGTGGCTCAGAGCGAAAGTCTCTTGCCGTGGAGACACGAGTATGATTCCCGGACAATCTCATGCCAAATTTGTTTCAAGAAAATGAGCTTGGCTGCTTTTCAGGGGCTAGTGCAATCCTTGTGAAATGTAAACCCTACCACTGTCTTCATTCCTTTCAAATTCTGGACGCTGGTTAGTGACGCAGGAGCGCGTGTTAAGAGGCGCGTAGGCGGAGATGCTACCTGGTGGTCCTCTTGATAACAAACCGTCTTCTCTTACGGGTACCCTAATGTTAAAATCAGTAGTGTGTTCGCTAATGGGCTAATAGATGATGCAACCTTAAGTAAACAAAAAATGCGAGAAAAAAGCAACAATTGTACAGAAAAAAATTCAACATTAATAATGAAATATTCTTAGTTTCTGAATATAAAATTAATAAAGATCACAATTTGTACACTACAATATTGCTAATTAATTGACTGCCCGGGAGACGCCGCCTTGTAGGCACAGGTGCCAACGTTTTGACCGCTATTCTGCGACCTTCCTCAGAACATTTCGCCCTGAGGAAGGATGCAGAATAGCAGTCGAAATAATGGCACCCGTGCCTACGACTCGGCGTCTCCCGGGCAGCCACGTAGTTGCTGATTCCGGACGCAGAAGCCTATTCTCTTAAAATATTTCTGTTTTCAACCTTCATCGAATGTTTTCTGATTTTTAATTTTTCGACTTATCACATTTTTCTTTGAAGCTGAAAAACTATGTAGTAGTTCAGGAATATTAGTAGCGAGTTAAAACTTTTGTACTGTAGAACAAATTGCAGGATTTCAGAATACTAATGTAGTACAGAGGGAATGGTTTGATTTGCCATATATTTGCATGGCTTTGGTATGAGAAATACGTCTCCGAGCGAGTGTTACGTTTCTCATGGCGGTGCAGGGAGGTGCCCAAAAGTGTCAAGAGCCATTCCCGGAGACCTTCCCACGGTGGAACTCCGAAGAGTGACAATTCCCCCATGCCCGCTACAGGCAAACCTGCGCTTTATAGCGCTGTGTGAGTTAGAGGCAATTGGATAATCTTCCACATGCGGCCGTCTCGGGCGCAAGCTTGCAGCACAGCTCCCATAGGCCAGATACTGACCAACGTCAGTCGTCAAATCGAACACATACACCTAACTTTGCATCCAGTGCCGGAATTCGCGTCGAGTATTTCGATGTACTGGCCAACCCCTACTCAGATGTACTACTGCTACGACGAAATCATATGTCACAGGGATAGAGACTTGCAACTGATCTGCGATTACGTTCAAATACATTAAATTGAGAGTATATCTCACCATAGCCACTCTGTCAACTGCATTACATTGACTGGAATTCGTTTTTAAGGGCTTTTTTTCTCTTGCAGGACGTGGAAAGCGATTCTGTTTCCGGGTTGGACAGGTACAAAACGCCATTTTGACATCCGGAGAAATTATCCAATTAAGGTAGGTTTCCCGCTTGTCCATGGTCCGGTTTCAACAAACTTGTGAGTTACTATTTCCGACATTTGAATCGTTACGACTTCTGATTGACGATCATTACAACAAATTTTCTAATGAAACTAAAACGTAAAAAAGTTTTTTAATCGACACTTTTTCTTACAACTATTGACACCCGAAAATGAATGAGATGGTAAGATGAGATGGAGTAACTAATATATTTCAAATTTCGTTTCTTATGAATTTGCAAAACACAAATGAATGGATGAAAATCAGACATTTTATAAATTCTGAGCAAAACATATTTATATTATTTCAGGGCAAATGCAATTTCATCGATTTTAATGAACAATTGAAATGCCGTGATTTTAATGATGACCCAAAGCACCACGAATTTATAATAATATTGAAATAAATAAACAGTTTTCTCAGAATTTATAAAATGTTACTTATAGTGTTCTGTTCCACCCATTGAAATGAAACGTTTAACATGATATCTGCCGCGACGCTAAGCACGCAAATAGGTATTTTAAAGAGCCACTAGTAAAACCGGTTCTTTCAAGACATGCGCACCGTGCAAGAATTTTAAGGTTTAGCACTAGTGCTAAAAGTAAAACGATGGTCAACTGTTCAGAAAAACTGTGAATGCTATAAAGGAAAATATAATTTAATCTCACCGCATCAGCTACTACTAACCTTAATGGATCATTAATGGGTTTGTACGTGATTAAAAATAAAATAAAAGTCAAATAATAAAAATAAAAAAAAAAAATAATAATAATAATAATAATAATAATGCTGATGATTATAATAATAAATAGTGAATGACATATGTGTGAAAGTTATTATTTTTTGCTCGTAGGATTGTGCTACTCGGCTTGTTGGCATCCTGTTGCATCATTTCCTACTCGCAAAATAAAACGACACTTTTATCTCTCGTATTACAAGTATTTTGAACGCACTTTCGTGGTGGGACAGCGAAGCACATTTCTCCACCCCTGCAGCAGCATCGACCCTGAGCGGCGACGAAAGTGATCGAACGCGCTCTCGTCGCGTCGCCTCAACCGGCGTCGCCCGGCCCCGCCCCAACCACCCCGTCCCGCCCCCGCCCCAACCACCTGCGCTCGCACCCAAGACCCAGCTCCGCCCCCGCCCTGCCCGCCACATCCAGCTCCGCTCTGCCCGCACCATTCCTCCCCGCCTCTACCCCTGCGCCGTTCCGCTCGGGCCCTGCCCCTTACAGCCCCCTTTGCCTTTGCTCCGCCCGACACCGACTGCACCAACCACCTCGCTTCGCCCCGCCCTACCCTGACACACTCGCTCCTCTCCAGCCATGCCCTGCCCCCTCTGCCCAGCCTCGCCCGCCCGCCCCGCCCCAACCAACACCGCTCCGTTCCGCCCTGCTCCACCTATCCTGCCCCAACCACCCCCGATCAGCCACACCCCTCCTCCAACCACTCCCTCTCCCACCCTTACCCAAACACCATCGCTCCTCTCTAGCCATGCTCTGCCCGCTCTGCCCAGCCCAACCCGCCACGCCCCAACTACCCCCACCGTTCCGCCTTGCCCGCCCTTACACCTCTCCGCCCTACCTGCCTGACCACCCCGATTTGCCACCCTGCCCCAACCACCCACGATCTTTCCCGCCCGTACCAACCACCCACATTCCTCCCGCCCCACCCTAGAGACATACGCTCCTTCCTGCCCCACCCCATCCTGTTCCACTCTATCCCGCCCCGCACCGCCACCGCTCCGTTTCGACCTGTCCCGCCCCTTACACCCGTTCGCCCTACCCAGCTCAATACCCCCGATCTATCCCACCCCGCCCCAACCACCCCCTACTGCCCCGCCCGCCCCAACCACTCCCGCCCCCTTCCATCCGCCCTGCTTCTTCCCGAAGGGCGCGCGAGGGCCATCTTGGCGAAGGCGCGACCTCGTTCCGAGCACGTCCGGCGCGGCGCGCCTCTGCGTTTCCGCGGGTCGTCATGGCGACGCCGTGACGTCACTGGTCTCGGCTAGCATAGCATTACCCACCTGTGGAGCGGTGCATGATGTATGAGGCCGGTGCTCCGGCGCGGAGAGAAAGCCACCGTCGCCTCACCCGCAAGAAAAAGACGTGGGTGACGATTGTAGACGGTGGTGACGGAGAGGAGTCGATGGGTTAAGAAAAAGGGGTTTCATATTGCGGCTTTTTTCATACTGCTGTATAAGGTTTGCGGAAGAGTTTCTCTCACGGTGCGTGCAAGTTGCAGGTCATTCATTGACTATTTTTTGTTTACGTGTATTGACATTAGTACCGTAAGTGCAGTGAATGATATATCTCGGGGTTGTGGAGTTCCTCTTGAAACGAGAGACCCGTCGCTGACAAATACTAATGTTTGTTAAAGAAACACTTTCAATTTTGAAGTGCTCTTACACATACAATTCTAATTTACTCATTAGTCAAAATGATTGTAATTTCTAAAGATATTTGTAATTCCTAGAACAACATAACAACGTAGAATGATGCTGGGAACCAGGGTATGTCAGTCTGTCCAATATTCACGGTTCGCCGTTTGGGTCATCTCAGGAGCATTTGTTTTCTGCTTTTGGGGAACGGTATTTTGTGTCTTTATTATCTAATTTAGAAACCTCAAACAAATAATAAAGTTCTATAAATGTTTATAAAGCGTCGTCTCGCTAAGTTAGTTAATATATGTTTATACCATTTTTATATTATGTTTGTTTCTTAATTCATTTTTATGATTATGGTCAATAGTATTTGTTCACAATTTTAGCTCCATCTTTTTTTAAGACAGTGCACTATAAGCTACATATAAACTATTATAACGTATTTAACTCAGGCAATAAACGCCTCTGTAATAAAAGATCCTATCATTATCTCTTTAACAGATTTTCCTTTCCAGAAATTGTTTTAAGGTAAAACGCAATTCAAGAACAAATACACAATAAAAAAGATACATTGCATTCTTAAGCCCACAAAAAGAAACTTTCATTAAATGAATTATATATAATAAATAATATAAATAATATTAAACTTTAATTCAATAATTCTGCAAGATATTTTAAAATGTATCTAGTCTAGACTAATCTTCTACCCTTTTTAGATGGGACGTGTTTTCACTCACTGTATGTTAACATATTTCATATACGAAATAAATAGCCATTTTAAATACTTTTCAAAATAATTAACCATTAATAAAAAGGAAAACGGCCATGAAAGTAAGAATGTTTCTCGATTTGAAACAATAAGTTACAAAAGTCTCGTACAGCCAGCGACAGGTACGTGGACCTTCCTCGGATTCAAGGTAGGGCAACCAGGGAGCCAGGAAGAGGCAACTTCTCTCCGTCCTTTTCTTTCGCCTCGCTGCACCCCCTGCCCGCCTGCTCCCGCCCCCGGGGATGAACCGCGATTTTCTTTTGTTCCCAGAATTAGACCGGTGATTGGAAAGCAAAACGAAAGGTCTGTAAAGTTAAAACCCGATCGCGCCCTGGAGGCAGAAGAAGTGAGGTTCAATTTTGTATTCGTCCGAAGGAGCTGAAGAAGAGGGGAGGATGGCCGGCTGGCTTCTCCGCCTTAACTCCCCACCAGAAAGAGAGGTGCACATTTCGATCGAAAAAGGGCCGTCGGAGATTTTCTGCTGGGATATGCGAATTCTACAACCGAGAGAAGTAGCTTTGTCTCTTATGAAAGACTTTTGTTTTTTGTACTGCCCGACGAATACTTTTCTTCTGAGGATCGCATTTTTCTCCTCCCCTTCCTCTTCCTCCTCCTTCTTCTTCTCCTTCTTCTTCTTCTCCTTCTTCTTCTTCTTCTTCTTCTTCTTCTTCTCCTTCTCCTTCTTCTTCTCTTTCTTCTTATTCTCCTTCTTCTCTTTCTTCTTCTTCTTCTTCTTTTTCTTCTTTTTCTTCTTCTCTTTCTTCTTCTTCTTCTCTTTCTTCTTCTTCTTCTTCTTCTTCTTCTCCAGTACTACAGATCGTAATCGGGCATTGGCTTAGAATCTTCCCACCTTGTTAATTTTTTTACTTATTTTGCAGTGCTAGTGACACATTTAACAAACGACTAGTTTGATGATACACTGTACAATTTGGTCCAGAATTACATTAGTATTACTAGGTGACAAAATCTCTTAACACTTTTGCTGTCGACGATGGTTTAACTAGTGGTGTCGTTACGAAGACAATTTAGGACAATTGACTTCATTTTCGCACCCATTTATTGTAATTATTTTTGCGTCTTGCGAAGAGGTTTAGCACTTTCAACTGAGATCCGGGTTGATCATGCAAATGTTATACTAGCCCAAGCAAGAGACACAAAATGTGAAAAAACGCACACAGATGATGGTCGGTGTGGTAAATGCTAAGGATAATTACTAGCTGTTCTTTTTTAAGACAGACAAAGAAATATACTACCGAATATTGTTCAATTAAATGTATTACCGAGGAGATTGCAGGGAGATGAAGAAGGAGAGGAAACGAAAACATCAATAGAATGGAGAAAGAGTGAATAAAGAGAAAAGTAAGGAACTGTAAATCTGATTGGAAAGAGAGAACTTGGCAGGCAAACGTAGTTGCAGTTCGAAGCACTACACAATCTTGGCGAAAGACCAAGCATTTGACTTATTGCCAATGATGACGATTAAATGTATAGACTGTTTAAGAGAATATCTACCGCACTAACCACTAGATGGCTGATACCAGGTTTCCCCGCGGATCGCGAAAGCAAAAGAACGCCCAGTTCTTCAAACGCGTCCTTGGAAGAGAACGAAGTGACCCTACGGCGCCCGCCGTGACTCCTGCAGAGACAGGGAAAGAGGTCCAATTTTCCACAAAGCGAAATAAATGTTCCCTAATTCGACTTGAGTGGGTCGAGTGCTTCTCTCCGTGATGTAATTTTATCCATTTTATACACTTACCTGCTCTGGGCCATCTCCGTCTCCGTAATGGCGCCTTTTCTTCTTTCCCGGGGATTCCCCTCCGCCAAGAGGCTGCCTCGCGCGCCGCCTGCGAAGTGTAAGCCAGCGCGCTCCTCGATTTCGTTTAAGGCCTAGCTCAGATGTCGATTATCTTACCTGAAACCCAATATCTCGCGCACGTTTTTTGTTTGGTATTTGTAATAATTTTTCACTCTCAGATGTATACAAGGAGTTTCTGGAGTGATAAATACTTATGGAGTAGGAGTATGAAATATTCGTTGTAGAAAATCGTATAGTATAAATATCAATGTATGTCTAGAAGCATATCAAACATTTTACAATCTGTATTTCACTTTTAAGAAGACTTTCTAAACTGATAGTCTTCATTTTTAATTAGTTAACACGATACTTCAATTCAGAAATTCCATCAGTGAGTTTTTGCAAAGTTTGGTTTAATACAATAGAAACGCGGCTAGATATTGCAGAGATGAGGTACGGATTGGAAGGAAGGAGAGCGAGCCAGGCGGGAGGGTGAGACAGTGAGGGTCAAGACGGGGTAAACGGTGAAAGTGGGCGTGGCAGAGTAGAGAGGGTGGGAATCGCCGGGGTTGGTGGGAGTGGGCGGTGTAGTTGACATGAGCAGAAGGGGGCGTGCTGTGAATGTAAATAGAATTTCTTCTACTCTACACAACAGTTAGATTTCATTCATTACACTGTCATCAGTGCTTGTAATTAATAAATTCAAGGACAAATGCGTGTTACTTAAGATAGTGTCCTCGAACGTATGGAAACGCAAAAAACTGTTTATAAAACAGTTTATTTTAATAAGATGGTTAAAACAGTGTTTCATAAGAAACAAAAAATACTTAGGAAAAGGTGTTATGACTTCAGTATTTGATGTTATTCTGATACACTACATTAACACTTTTATTTCTGAGTCTTCAACGCCAAAATCCTGATTAATTCCAAAATCCTGACCATTTATAGACTTTTTGGAAAATTTATCAAATGATAAATTAAAGATAAGTGTCTGAAAAATTTCTACATATGTATTGGTGCGCAAGCTATGTATGAAAAACGACAGATGAAACTGGGAGTTATCCTTAGATTTCCTGGAACAGAGCAATTGTTCACATGATATATTATTGCCGCTTCTATCTCGTTTTCTGGAATATTAGGCTTACATAACTTGCTTGTGTTTGTTAGAGAATCCAGCCAAACAAACATTATTGTTAATATGATCGTGTGATTTAAATTATTGAAGAGACAAATATTGCCATTTAGTTAACTCAGGTACGAATAATTTAGAACATGAAATGTGCACTTTCATATTTGGACCAAGATATAATTCATATGCTTAGAAGAGTCAATAATCTCTTATTATACTGTTTAGTAATAATATATTCAGAAAATACATATACAATTCACTTGAAATAAGTAAATGCATTATTTCATTTGGGAGAAAAAGTAAGCTTTATTGTATGTGCTTCCAAAATGCAAAACATTACTATGGTGTCTACATGCATTATAGAATTTAAAAACAATGGTATATCGTTTTATACGTAAAGTGTCGAATCGTTTATACGTAAGGTGGTCTGTGAATTTCTACAGAAAGAGGAGCCGTGACTGACACATGGCCTTATAGAAGCAATTAAGAACGCATACCCACATTTTACGGGTTCAGTTTTGCGTTGGACATAAGAAATTTCATCTGCGGCGCATAGTGCCAACAAAAATTTAAAAGAATGCCAATGCCTTACCGATGGTCATTTCCAGCGATTGACGAATTAATGTTTCTCTTGGTTAGTGCTTCTTTTCTAATGTTCTAGAAATTTAATTTACTTATATTTACTGTTGTTCAGAAAACATCTTCATGCACTGTCTCGTATGCCAGTTTTCCTTTCGTATACGTGCCCTTTGCATTAAGCCAGTCTTAGTGCTGGTCATCGCTACATTAACCCCTGCGCCTATAGTCACCTGCGTCGGCCGATGCTCCCTATAGGTTCAAGATATGATGCGCCATTGGTTTGCTTCCGACTGAGAGCATGGAGGGGGAGATGTAGACCATTAACAGTTATTGAGTCCATCTCGTGAAGACTTGATGAAGACACTAAACTCCACACCAATAGGGGGATTACATTACGTCGTTTATGGAGGTCACACGCCATATTTCTTGCGAATGTGTTTCTTGGGGGTAGACACTATGCTGTGTTGTTCTATTTATTGGTGTTCCGATGGGCATCTAACGTCATGATATTCAACTGTCATCCAGATAATTTAAGTAGTAAAAATTGGTCAAAACGTCAATCTTTTGTAATATACGCACGATTTGTGACGTTACGACATGGGTGATATTTGGAAAGGTATTATAAAACAATTCAATTTAATTTGAAAACTAACGCAGTAATTATTATAATTACCTAAAACGTTTTAAAGAAGCAAAACTGTTATTTATGTTTCCGAAGTTGCGCATTATTTCTTGAAGGTCTTTCTTTTGTTCTTCAGGTGAAAGTTATGTAGTTTTAAGTTGCTGGGGTACAGAATTGAAAAGTGAAATTCCGGAAGATATAAGGCACTTATGGTACTTTTTATTACTAACCAAAAAAATGTTATTTCATTAAATACTTTAATGTGTTCTTATGTAAATATCAATACCATCATCAAAGACTTTTAGATACTATTGCGTATGTGATTATAACGTTTTTACTGGTACAAATGTTCCTGGATACATTTAATTATATCATATTTCAACAATAAATATTGAGTATCACCTAAGATATATGATAATTCAATTTTTCAATTAATGCATTTTAGGAGAAGTAACTACAAAAACCATGAAGAATGGTTGAAAAAGAGTTCCACTATTTTGCTTTATTCATTTCAAATTGTTTTGTAATCATTATAACATTAGATTCGGTCAGCGGCGTATATTATCAGATGATATGAAATAGGAAATTGTTGGTTTTTCTTTCAGTGTATAAACTCACGCTCCTACGTGCTCTCCAAAGAAAAGATAACTTCGAACTTTAGAAGGTACTCTTAATATGCTTGCATCGAACAGTTGTCGCTCACAGGGAAGGCGATGCACTACTCACTCAGACTGGGCATCTTTCTCTCAGCCCAAGACCTTTCACGGATGTGTCGTCTTTCCCGGCCAGTTTTCCGTGTGTGAATTCTTCGCATATAACATAGAGCCCACTAGTTCAAGCATTTATTTTACCTAAAATAGGCAGCCAAAACTGCATTTATGTTTACTAAAAAAAGCATTTATTATGGCTAAAGTACGGGTTAAAACACTGGATTCATTAAAAACAATAATTTAAAAGTAATTAGGGTAAAAAAATAATAATTACAGAATAACATTTTTATTTTAACTCTAAAATTTTCATTAGCACTAACATGGAAGGAAACTACCTTTTCTTTGAAATCTTGATCGCCCTTGACCATCAGATAACGAATAAGAATTTATTTTACTCGTAATCCTGTCTCTACGACAAGCTATAGTGGACTCTCTTCTGAATCTTGAAATGGTAACAGTGAAAACAGAATTGTCGATTCCATTCTTCCCATTTGTGTAATCGTGAAAAGGGAAGAGAGAACAATAAGGATCTTAGAAGGGTATAATTCTGGACAGACAGCTGTCCTCAAAAGGGATCCGGGGCCATACACAAACATATGATGAGATTTCTTGTGAGCGATCGAGTCTGTAAGCATCAATGAAAAATGTCAAATATCTTTACATCTATTATTTGGTTTTTCCTTCTAGAGTTTTAACACAACCTGACACTGGAGCCTCCGCGCCCTCAGAAAGACAAAACTGTGCCTTCATGTTGTCCAGGATAGCAAGTATGTTTTCATCTTGATAGAGATTGGTGCCAAGAGGGAAATGGGAAAATAACAAAAAAGTCAGCGAAAGCCACAAATATGGAAGGAAAGTTACAATTAAGGCAAAATGCCAAAAATAGGCACCAGAAGCTAAATAGGCAAAAAGAAGGAAAATGAAAATCTACTAAAACAACTCCAGCAGTACAATTAAATGATTCCTATTGATAAAAGTCATAAAATCGTAACAATTATAAAAAGGCATTTTGCCAAACTTCCGGGTTCGAAATATTACCTTTCGTACGTGCTCACAGAAATATCTTAGGCAGTATTAGAATCATCAACACCAGGGAGCCACATTCGCATAATTTGGTTCGTTAATCGTTGTTCGTAGCCGTTGCTGCATGATTTAGTACAGAGAGGGAGCTATGAAGTGTTTTGAAGGTGCCAGGAGTGTAACCCGTTTGAAGGGGGGCAGTTTCCGTACCATCCACACGCCGAGAAAGCATCGTAGTACTTACGATACTCCGTGAACAAAAACATCGCGTATTTGTAAGACAGGCACCGTGGCAGCGAAGGCTCGTCCGTCGAGACTATTGCGACCTTTAAGTTGTGCGCACTGAATCAGCCGAGATTGTGTGCAAGAGAGCCAACCACTTCACATTGCCCGTAGTGCCAGTTCATTTAAATTTGGATGCGATAGTACATCAGCATCATTGTTGTCTCTGAAGAATCATTGACCGAAAGGTTCTAGAATTCGGACGGTTGCAGATTTTCCACTACCTATAGAGTTGGATATAATTCAACTAGGAGAGGGATCTGGACGAAAATTTTAGCTCCTGGCTATTTTGATTGATAGTTTTTTATGGTTTCATTGACCAGTTCTAGGTGAATGTTGGAGTAATACTCCGACAAACAGATCGTGGAGTGCACGCCATCTTTCTTTCCTCACCGTTGCCCCTTCTCTCCCCTTACAAAACGTAGACGAATTCCACTATTCTACCACGCAATTCGAGAGCTTAGAGAGATTATCCGCAGGAGGATATACCTATAGAGGGGGAAAACGTGCAATCAGATGTGTAGGTCGGCGCTGGATCTCATATTCCAGCTGGGGAGGTACATCAGCTGAGGAGGCATTTTTGTACAGTACTACAATATACATTATTTGTGGTGCTTCACAAACTACAAACAAAAATTCGTAAATACTATTTATTTTATTTAAATTCGTGGTATTTTGAGAGCTTTTTTCTCAGTCATTGAACTGAATCAGCTCAGGGTTAGCTTTGCTTTGTATTTTCCCAAGAAAGTAAGGTTGAGCTACGTTTAAAATGAAAAAGTCGATGTAAAAGGAAGGCATGTAGAAAATACTAACCACAGTAGTTGCAAAAAAGGACAGGCAGATGCCGAAACATGAAGGTGTTTCTAAATAAATTAAAATTAAAAAACAT